AGGTAAGTTTTGGACATGTGTAGTTTGAGGCCATTATAAAGATTTTTGTTCTGGGGGGCTCCAACAGGTTGTGGGTTCCTTGCTTTGCCCTATAGCCCCCCAGGAAGGGAAGAGGGGATGCCAAGAGACTCTTGACCTGCATCTCCCCCTTCCAGATGTTTTCAAGAATGCTCTACGCCTGGGGACCTTCTCAGCCGTGCTGGTTACCTATGCAGCCAGTGCCCTCCTGCACGTGAGCTGGGCAGAGCGGGACGTGGGTTTGGGAGAGCTGGACAGGGTTGGCAGGGCCTCTTCCTTATTCACCTCCTTGCCCCCTGGGCCTTCCAGGGCTTCAGCTTCCATTTGGCTGCGGTGCTGCTGTCCCTGGCATTTATCACTTATGTGGAACACGGTGAGTGCAGAGCACAGCCCAGCAGATGGGATGGAAGGTAGGGGGAGGGCTAGAACCACTATCCCCTGAGGCTAACCTGACCACCCTCTTACCTCCTGGCCCCTGCCCTAGTCCTCCGGAAGCGCCTGGCTCGGATCCTCAGTGCCTGCGTCTTGTCGAAACGGTGCCCACCGAACTGTTCGCACCAGCATCGCTTGGTGAGGGTTCAGCCTGGGCAACCTTATGCCCAATACTCCCCCTCAAAAATGTTACTTTGGGGTGCCCAGCTTCCTCTTCTGGTGCCTGAGCCATCCCCGAAACCTCACTTCTATTCACTGGCACCCATTTCTTTCACAAACATTTATCAAGCACCTGCTGTATACACACCTGGAATTTGTTCCCCACCCCACCCCCCGTGAACATTTATTGAGCACCTGCTGGCATCAGGCACTGCTCTAGGCCCGAGACACAGTGGTAAACAAAACAGTTTGTCCCTATGGGACAAACATTTTAACAGATGAGACCGTACATGTGTAAAGAGTCAGTAAAGTATAATAGTTTTTTTGGATTGTGATTAATGCCAAGGAGAAAAGACATAAGGGAAAGGACAGGAAGTATGGAGGGGGGTGAGTGGTTTCGATTTTGAATAGGGAGGTTGACTTTTGAGTTCTTTAACTGAAGATGGGAAGAGAAGCGTTCCAGGCAAGCGGTGTAAAAGCTCTGAGATGGGAGAGAGCCTAGAATATTTGTCGAACAAGGAGACCAGCATGGCTTTAACAGCCAAGCAAGAGGGGGAGAGTGGTGGGTTCTGTAGGTCATGGTGGGGATTTGTTCTTTTCATTATCTGCAATGAGAAATCCTGGGCCACCTCAGATATCTCTCCCACCCAGCAACTGATTGATGTTTATCACCATAAACCCCCAACTCAAGCCCCCCCATTCTTCCTCCTCTGCCTGAACATTCACATCTCCCTGCCCCAGATGCCCTCACGCTAATAGTACCCTCATCCTTGAATACCTCTTGAGCACTCATGGGAAGATCCAAACCATTTTTCCTACCACAGGGGGTGCCCTGTGCCCTGGATGTCCTGATTCCTAGGACCCACTGTGCCTTGTGCATTTCCCTGGGCTGCTCTGCCCAGGTGGGGCTGGGATACAGTGAGCAGATCCAGCTGCCAAGCATATCCATCTGTCCCCCCACAGGGCCTGGGGGTACGAGTCTTAAACCTGCTCTTTGGGGCCCTGGCCATCTTCCACCTGGCCTACCTGGGCTCCCTGTTTGATGTCGATGTGGATGACACCACAGAGGAGCAGGTGAGGTGGGACCCTGGGCTGGAGGTTACTTAGGGATGTGCTTCCTGCTCATGGGAACCATGAGAACAAAGGTGAAGAGGCCGAGGCATTGAGGACCTCGTGTCACGTGTCTAGCTTGTGAAGCTAGTGTTCCTTGGTCCTTCTTTCCCATGGCCCTTCTGGTTGATTTGTCCTGTTAGGGCTTTTATTAGAGTGAAATGTGCAAACAATGGTTTTTATTTTTACTTATAAAATTTATGTTATAGAGATGGAGTGAAAAATCCAGGTTTTACTTTTTAAAATATTTTTATTTATTTGAGAGAGAGAGAGAGAGAGAGAGAGAGAGAGAGAGAACATGAATATGGGGAGGGGCAGTGGGTGAGGGAGAAGCAGGCTCCCTGCCAAGCAAGGAACCCGACTCCACTCTGGGCTCCACTTGGGGCTCCATCCCAGGACCCCAGAATCATGACCTGAGGCGAAGGCAGCCTCTTAACCGATTGAGCCACCCAAAGGGCCCCAGGTTTTACTTTAAAAAAAATTAATTCTTTCACCATATATTTATTTAGGTAGAATTCACAAAGTTTCTTTCTCCTTTAATTAAAGAAGTATTTTTACTCAGGTAAAGTGTGCAAACTCTGGATTCTGCTTTAAAAATGTACATTAAAATCTATATACTATTTTTATTCATGTGGAGTATGCATATTCCAGATTTTCCTCCTTTCTAAAGGAAAGACAATTTTAAAAATACTGTTTCTTCCTGTGGCTCCTGCAGGATCCAGGTTTTGCTTCTCTTTTAGTTGAATTTTTTATTTTTATTTTATTTTGAATTTTTTATTTTTAATTGAAAATAAAACTTTTATTTCATAGTTTGTCATTAAAAACAATTTTAATCTTCACTCAGGTTGAGTGTGCAAAATCTGGGTTTTATTTTTATTAAGACATTTAAAAATAATTAATGCACATATCACAAAGTTCAAAAACAAAACAGTATCCAAGATTTTCAGGGAAAAGTTTTGCTCCTACTATCTACTTCCTGCCCTCTTACAGGTAACTACTTTTATTCATCTTATTAAAATATCCTTTTAAAGTGTAAGCTCAATAAACAAATATAAATATATATTTTAATTCCCTCCCCCACCCCAGTTTTTATCCTAAAGTGACTCATGAATGGTACTGTTCTGCATGTCACTTTTTTCACATAATAATTCTTGAAAATCTTCCACATAAGTATGTGGCATGTCCTTATTCATTTGTTTCCATTGCGAGGATATGACAACATCACACAGTGTAGTTTGTCCCTTGTCACTGAACACCCAGATGATTTCCAGCCCTTTCCTATTGCAAGTGGTGCTGCAGCAAGTAATAATACCCTTGTACCCATTGTGGATTCACACAGGTGCAGTCAAAACTATAGGATCTATCCTTGATAGTTACAATGGAGAAGTTACCTTTTTGCCTCCCACCAGCAATGTGTGACCATACCTGTCGCCCTACCGACAGAGTGCCTCTCAGACTTCCTGGATATGTTTGCTGGGTTGAGAGGAAGAAAATTAGGAATGAGGCTAAGTATCTTTTCATATGTTTAAGAGCCACTGGGGTTTTTACTCAGTGAAAATGGCATACTCCCCTCCTTTGCCAGTTTTTTTAAATTCTTTTTGAAAAATCAATTCCTAGAAGCTCCTTCTGTATTAGGGAGAATACTGGTCAGAGAGTGGAATTGCCTTGTTTTGTTTTTAAAATAATTTTGAAAGAAAAAGAAAACATGAAAGAAAAAAACCCCACCTAAATCTGCTTATCTTTCATATGTACCCAGTCTCTTCTCTGGAGCCTCACCTAGGGTGACCATGGAGTCACAGAACTGTCCTTGAGCAAAGGATGGGTTTTCCTGAGGCCTTTTTTTGTTCTTGCCAAGTGGGACTGTCACCTCTTTCTCTCCCACAGGGCTACGGCATGGCATACACTGTCCACAAGTGGTCAGAGCTCAGCTGGGCCAGTCACTGGGTCACTTTTGGATGTTGGATCTTCTATCGTCTCATAGGCTGAGGCACCCCTGTGGACCCACATAGCTTCCTCAAGACTCCTCCTCAGGGTGCCAGCCCTGATGGGAGATGAGGGAAGGCCCTATCTCTAAGTCTTGACCCCTCTCCATCCTTGACCCCCCTGACACCCCTACACACACACACACACACACACACACACACACACAATTTCCATGCCTGTCGATCCCCACTACACCACAAGGCGGGAAGGGGGTGCTCCCTGCTGGGGCCTAGAGATGGAGGATGCTTGGGGAAGCAGAGAGGGGGAGATCCAGGGCCTCCCCGCCTTCCTTCTCCCTTTTTATATACAGTTTGTTATTGTCAAATAAAAGTAGGAAAGATACAAAAGGCTCTTTCTTCACTGCTCAGTGGGGAATAGGATCGACTGAGGAATGGGCACAGTATGGATAAAGGTTAGGAATTGGAAATCATGAAGAGGGAGCAGGTTGTGATCACTTCCTGGTTAATTTGTTATTGCTCAGTTTTGGATGATGAGCCCGAGGACTGCACAGCTTGATTTCAATGGAGCCAAGACAGACTAGATAATTGGATGGGGCGCGGGGAAGCTGATGGTTACTGGCTGAAAAACTGATTGGTTATTCTGACTAGGACGGGGAGGGAGAAAGCAAGACAGATGAAGAGTTCATGCTTATTGGTCCTTAGGACTGAAGCTTGTGGGTTCCTGTTTGTTAGGATAGGTCTGGGTTCTGATTGATTGCCCGGCCTGGGGTGCCTGCTGGCTTAAGAGTTAGGGAGTCGGGATTGCCTCTTCAGAGTTGGCAAAGGCAGACCGAGGGGTCTCAATGACAAATGGCCAGCAAGGCTGAGGAGCCTGGGTTTTGACAAGTTCTTCTGACTTTATAAGTCGGGAGAGGTGGAGATGGCCGCTGAGAAGCTCTGAGCGTCGAGGGAGAGGAGAGAGGCAGTGTACAGATGTGCTCTGCCTGTCGTATTAAGTTTTTTTTTGCTGGTTTGGGCATTAGGATTGAAGACCGGTCCAGGAACTCATTGATTGCTCTGCCTAAAAAACGAGGGCAAAGGTGAGCGAACCCAAAGCAATGCTGACTCAACAGTAGATGAGGAGGATAAACACCCGGTTTCCGATAAGACTGACAATGGGATAGGGGAAATCAAAGCCAAGACTCGCAGTAGACCCGGCTCAGCCCGAAAACGCCCACCAACCTCCGCGGGTCCCACCCTTCCTGCAGCTCCTGACCGGGCTTCAACCAACAGCGAAAATGGCACCACGCACGGGGGTGGGGCCGGCGGCACACAGGGAGCTCCTATTGGTTAGGAACGGCACTGGCCGCCTTCTCGGCCCCTCCATTGGCCAGCTCCGTAAGGTGAGGAACCTGTGAGGGGGTGAGTCGGAACGAGGGATTTTAGGCAGCCAGCAAGCTAACTTAGATCCGGGAGTGTGTGAGAGACGCTGCCGCGACCGCGCCGCTGGGTGAGTGTCCTCCGCTCAGCCTACCACTCCGTCCCCTAGCTCGCTACTGCTAAACAGCCGGCCCTCGGCGCCTGCGCGAGACCCTTCCCGCCGCCCCCCCAAACGCGGGCGCGCCACACACCCTCCCACACTCCCAGTCTCCCACCGCCCACCGAACGCGCCTGCGTGAGACCCCCCCCCCTCCCCCGCCAACCGCGCGGTTGCCCAGATGACAGAAGATCTGCCTTCTCATTGGACAGCTAGCCTACAGGCTTCTAGTCCTAATTGGTGGTCTCTGTGTTTGACCCTCGTTTTCCTGTTTAGACCTATGCACGGGACCCCTGCCTTCCGCTTCCCTCTTCCTCGCAGGTTGGTGGCCTTAGGGGCGATTTCAGGAAGGGTCTGGCTCTCCATACACTGAACCCGGGGGTTGTAATTCTGATTAGTTTTCTCTCTTCTGTCCTGCAGTTTCCAGGACTACGGGGAGGGGATAGATTTCTTTTTTTTTTTTTTTAAATTTTATTTATTTTATGATAGTCACACAGAGAGAGAGAAAGAGGCAGAGACATAGGCAGAGGGAGAAGCAGGCTCCATGCACCGGGAGCCCGACATGGGACTCGATCCGGGGTCTCCAGAATCACGCCCTGGGCCAAAGGCAGGCGCCAAACCGCTGCGCCACCCAGGGATCCCTTTTTTTTTTTTTTTTTAAATTTTATTTATTTTAAGAGGGGATAGATTTCTGTTGAAAGATGCTAAACCCTGACCCCTGCAGTGTAGCCCAGCCTGGTCGCTGTGTCTCCCCCAGCCGACTGTGTCCCCCGAGGGCGGGGACCACGCCAGGCTCCTGTGTGTCCCCTATCAGGGTATGACCAATGAGGGCAGGGACCAGGCCTGGTACCTTTATATTCTCCAGCAAACTATGACCCCCGAGGGCTAGAACGTGGCTTGGTTCCTGTGTCTTCCATATCACAGGACTCCTAGAGGACTGAAACAGCCTTATAGTGATGATTTTAAAACCGCTTTTCATTGGACTATTTTTAATCCAGTGTATTCACTGATAATTTTAGTCCATTTACATTTATTGCGATAATAAACTATTTGGATTTAATTTTATGATCTCATTGTGTGCTTTCTATATTTGTTCAAGTTCTCTATTTTTTTTCTCCTTTCTGCTTATCCACACATAGCCATCAGCCTACAAAGACATGACCACCAACGCCAGCCCCTTGCACCCATATTGGCCTCGACACTTGAGGCTGGACAACTTTGTGCCTAACGACTGTCCCACGTGGCATCTCCTGGCCGGCCTCTTCTCTGTCTCTGGGGTCTTGGTTGTGACCACATGGCTGTTGTCAGGTCGTGCTGCGGTCATCCCCCTGGGGACTTGTCGGCGACTGTCCCTGTGCTGGTTTGCAGTGTGTGGGTTCATTCACATGGTGATTGAGGGCTGGTTCAGCCTTTATCACGAAGACCTTCTTGGAGACCAAGCTTTCTTGTCCCAACTCTGTGAGTCCTGAGTTCTTTGATGTGCTGTGGGAGGGGTTTTTCTGGACAGGGATTGGCTTAGATGTTCATCCACCCACCAACTCTAACATTAATTTATTTTACAAATTTATTTAACTTTTTTGTTGGATCTATATTCACATGGGTCAAAAAAACAAACCATTTAAAGAGATGTGCAGTGAAAATCTACCTTCTGTCCACCAAGTTTCTGTAGTTATTAATCAATGTTAATAATTGTGTATGTTTTCTTCCAGGGTTTATTTACACAAAAATTATACAAATAAGCCTCAGTTTGCTATTGTAAAAGAGGGATAACAGTAATACCCAAATATATGTAAGTCACTTAGAACAGTGTTGGCAGGGGTGTCTGGGTGGCACAGTTGGTTAAGTGTCTGACTCTTGGTTTCGGCTCAGGTCGAGATCTTGGGGTCACAGGAGATCAAGCCCTGCATCAGGCTCTGAGCTCAGCACAGAGTCCGCTTGAGATTCCTGATGCACAACGTGCTTGCTCTCTTTCTCTCTCCTTCAAATAAATAAATAAATAAATAAATAAATAAATAAATAAATCTTAAAAAGAAAGACTTTAAGAACAGTGTTGGCAGACAGTAGATGCAATAACTTTATCATCATCATCATCATCATTGTTTTTTCCACCTGCTGTGTAAACATATGGTAATATGGTATATACACTTCTGAATTTTGCTATTTTAAAATGAGGTCACGCCTCATCAGCTCACAAAAGGCTTTCAAAGCATAGATGTTACAGAATTATTTGACTTGTCCAGTATTTATAAGTATTTCCCACCAGTCTTTTGCTATTGCAAATTTATTCCCTTTTGGCCTCATGAGTAAAACTGCCATTCTTATATAACACCTTGATCTAACACAAGTCTGTGTGGAGACCTGCTTTCATTTCTCTTGGGTAAATATGAAAGAGAATAATGGTAGATGTGTGTCTAACTTTATGAAAAACTGCCAAACTATTTTTAAAATTGGCGGCACCGTGTTATTCTCCCAACAACAGCATGTGGGAGTTCTAGTTCCTTCACATCCTTGCGGACACCTGGTATGGTCAGGTGTTTTCTCAGTTTTAGTCCTAGTGGATGCGAGTGATATGTCGTTATGGTTTCAATTTGCTTTTTCTTTTTTTTAAGATTTTTATTTATTTATTTGAGAGAGAGAGCAAGCATAAGCAGGGGAGGAGGAGAGGGAGAAACAGACCTCCAGCTGAGCAGGGAGCCCAATGCAGGGCTTCATCCTGGGACCCTGGGATCATGACCTGAGCTGAAGGCAGACACTCAACCAACTGAGCCACCCAGGCTCCCCTTAATTTGCTTTTTCTTAATGACTAATCAAAGTTTTGAGCATGTTTCATGTTTATTGACCATTTGGGAATCATTTTTTGTGAAGAACCCATTCTTGTCTCTTGCCTATTTTTACATTGGGTGGTCTTTTTATTCTCTGCTCATCCTTTCATTCACTCATCTGTTCACCTTTGTGCTTGCTCACTCGCTTGTGCGTGCTCTCTCATACTCACTGACTCACTCACTCATTGGCTACTTCACACACCCCATCACCTACACTTCCCTTCTTTTATTCCACATTTATTGAACACCAGACAATCATAGCATTACTTATTGTTCTGTGAGGTTTGTACACGTTATCTTGAGTACATTTGTTCACCTTAGAATCCAGACAGCTACCCCATTTCACAGATGAGGACACTGAGGCATGGAGAGGTTATAAAGCCCACCTTACATGGGCCCTCAGCTCTCACAAGTCTGAGTTCCTTTTCTTGCCTTTATTCCTCATGTATGTCTCTTATCTTCTTCAGGGAAAGAGTATGCCAAGGGAGACAGCCGATACATCCTGTAAGTGTTTGCCTCCATCAAGAAAGACCTGCACTGATTTAGGGTGGTTGTGAGTCAGGGAACACTAATGGGGTGCCCTGTGGGTAGAGCACAGTGATGCCAGTGTCCCCCAATCCTTTCTCCCACAGGAGTGACAACTTTACGATATGCATGGAGACCATCACAGCTTGCCTTTGGGGACCACTCAGCCTGTGGGTGGTGATTGCCTTTCTCCGCCAGCAGCCCCTGCGCTTCGTCTTACAGCTTGTGGTCTCTGTGGGTGAGGAGAGGGCCCACACTGGGTGCTGGAGGGCCTGATGAGGGAATCCACATATACAGGGGCATCCCTGCGGGGTACATCTCTCAATTGTGCCTATCTGGGGCTGAGTCAGACTGAAAGATGTCCTCCTAAGGTTCTGGAAAGCCATGACCATCTCAGTCTGTGTTCTCAAGTGGGAAGGGTTCATTTCTCCTCCTTCATCACAGCATTCCCTGTGAAGGTTACATGAGGTGGCAGGGAGCCCCTGGATCCTCCAAGATTAGGATTCTGAGCTCAATCTGATATTCAGTCCTTTTGCGTTCTTAAATTGCTAGCTTTCTTTTAGTTCTGGAATCCTGAGCTGTCTTGAATTAAGGATTTGGGGTTTCCTTAAGTTCTGGAGATAGGACCTCTCCTGAGTTCAGAAATTCTCGGCTTCTGATTTCTGGAATTCTCACTTCTCTAATTCTTCAAATTTTCAGCTATGTAATTTCAGAATTCTTAGCTCTTGAAATTTGAGAATCCTGAGCTCTGAGACCTTAACAATGATGATGACTTAGAAAATGCCTTGGAATAGCTTTTCCTCCTCACTGGGTTTCTTCTTCCCCTTCTGCCTTCCACAGGTCAGATCTATGGGGATGTGCTCTATTTCCTAACAGAGCACCGGGACGGATTCCAGCATGGGGAGCTGGGCCACCCGCTCTACTTCTGGTTTTACTTTGTCTTCATGAACGGCTTGTGGCTGGTGCTGCCTGGAATCCTCGTGCTAGATTCTGTAAAGCAGCTTGCTCATGCCCAGAGCGTGCTGGATGCCAAAGGCACAAAAGCCAAGAGCAAGTAGAACTAATCAGTAGTAGGCTGGGCTTGAAAACTGGCTGATGAGGAACCCTCCACCAGGAAGAAGAATCCAGTCCTTACTCCCACAGGTTGGAGGAACAAAGCAAATTGATCTGTCAAACTCAAGCTAATGGGTAAGGACCAGAAGGACCAAAGGCAGGGGCAAGAAAGGAGTTGTGTGGAGCTACTGCCAGGAGCCACTGGGACAAAGGTGCAGAAGAATCTAGGAGGGCCATGATGGTGGCAGTTTTTAAAATCAGGAAATAAAAGATCTTGACCCTAACAGTGACAAATTTGTAATTACTAACCCCAGAGATGCCCTATGATTGACCCCACAAGCCCCTCCCTCACCCATTTCACAGACCACCATTCTCTCAGCCATAGACCACCCCCATTATCATTACTTAGACCTCCAATCTATAACATCACAAACCCCCTATCACTGACCCCATAGGTTCCCGTGATGACCAACTAGATCCATGAGACACCCATTATCTCTTTTAAGAAGTGATGATCCACTTGGTGTTCTCTCCAGAGCACACTTTCTCATTTTTTGCAATATGGGCAGGCTGAGAACTTTCCAAATCTAAGTTTTTCAATTTATTCAGCCTCTTGTGTCCTGATCAGGCACCCCACAGATACCCCATCAATAACTCCACAGATCTTTCCTCACTCACCTCAGACTTCCCCATTACTCATTCCAAAACTCCACCATCACTCACCTCAGAGACCCCACAAAACTCACACAAGACCGATCACTCACTTCACATACCCCAGTCACATACCCTACAACCCCCTGACTCACCCCATAGACCCCCACATCATGTATCACACAGACCCTCCCACTCTTCCCACAAATCCCCCCATCATTGACCTCAGGCTGTCATTACCTAACCTATAGACCCCCATAACTCACCTTGCAGAATTTATTTTTTATTTTTTTAAATTTTTATTTATTTATGATAGTCACACAGGGAGAGAGAGGCAGAGACACAGGCAGAGGGAGAAGCAGACTCCATGCACCGGGAGCCCGACATGGGATTTGATCCCAGGTCTCCAGGATCGCGCCCTGGGCCAAAGGCAGGCGCCAAACCGCTGCGCCACCCAGGGATCCCAACCTTGCAGAATTTATTACCTCATACCCCGCAGGTCCCCAATCATCCCATAGCTCTTCCATTGTTCCCATTGCTCACCTACATCCTGTCATTCCCACTGACCTCCTATCATGTAGCCACAGATTCCCATCATTTACCCAACAGATACCCCTCTCTCTATAGACCCACCCCATCACTCTTCCCAAAGTCTCTCTGTCATTAACCTCATAGACCTTGAGTCATAAAACAAATGGGCACTTGAGGAATTTTGAGGAGATGACAAAGAATGAAAACACTGTAGATACCTGTAGACTGCCTGCAGTATAGCTTTTGAGAAATGCTTCACTGTTCAAGCCAAAGCCAGGCACAGCCCACCTTCTGTCGATTACACTTACTCTCCATGCCACTTACTATCCCTTTGACCTTGAGCATGTTTCTCCCTGACCTTAAGTGCTCTCCTCTGTAAAATTCTTTTTTTTTAATTTTTTAAGATCTTATTTATTCATTCATGAGAGACACAGAGACAGAGGGGCAGAGACACAGGCAGAGAGAGAAGCAGGCTCCATGCAGAGAGCCTGATGTGGGACTTGATCCTGTGCCCCAGGATCACACCCTGGGCGGAAGGCAGGCACTAAACTGCTGAACCACCCAGGCATCCCTCATCTAAAATTCTAATAATAGTACCTACCTCATTGGGTTTTTATGCAGATTCAGTGAATTAATATATGTAGACTATCTGGCATACACTTTGTAGTTGTTGAATGGAAGAATAAATAAATGAAAGAGAAAGTTCTCCCAGGACTATGAAAAGGACCTCTTTTTTTTTTTATCTCCTTGCTTCCAGTAGTATCTTTCCATCCAAGGCTCTCCACAACCAAGACAGGCATCTGACCACATCATACCCCCATTTAAAACCTGTGCTCTTAAATAAAATAAAACCTGTGCTCTTGGGACGCCTGGGTGGCTCAGCGGTTGAGCATCTGCCTTTCGGCTCAGGGTGTGATTCTGGGGTCCGGGATTAAGTCCAATATTGGGTTCCTTTCGGGGAGCCTGCTTCTCCCTCTGCCTGTGTCTCTGCCTCTCTGTGTATCTCTCACGAATAAATAAAATATTTTTTAAAAATAAACAAAACCTCTGCTCCAATGCCATCAGGATTGAACTCCAGAATCCAGACTACTGTTTTACTCATCCCACCCTATGATAATTTTAATGAGAAACACACTCTCAAATTCCTTATTTCAGAAAATCCAGCAGAGCCATAAGAAGTAAAGTTTTTTACTCAAGCACATGGGTCAAAAGATATGTGCCAAAAACCTTTCTTTGGTTTTCAAAAAAAAAAAAAAAACTCCATTATTTATACCTTCTAGAAAATTGACAACTATCTAATATTAATACCAAGGAAACTATTTATTTAAGAAGATACCAAAATAGGGATGGCTGGGTGGCTCAGCAGTTGAGCATCTGCCTTTGGCTCAGGGCATGATCCTGGGGTCCTGGGATCGAATCCCACATCAGGCTCCCTGCATGGAGCCTGCTTCTCCCTCTGCCTGTGTCTCTGCCACTCTCTGTGCCTCTAATGAATAAAGTCTTTAGAAAAAAAAAAGAAGATACCAAAATAGGGGCGCCTGGGTGGTTCAGTGGGTTAAGTGTCTACCTTCAGCTCAGGTCTTAATCCCTGCGTCCTGGAATCAAGCCCCACATGGGGCTCCTTGCTCACTGGAGAGTCTGCTTCTCCCTCTCCCTCTGCCCCTCCACCCCCTTCGTTCTCTCTCTCTCAAATAAATAAATAAAATCTTTTTTTAAAAAGATACCACAATAGAATCACAGACTTTTCTAAAAAGTTAAGAGTAGCATTCATACAACACTGCAACAATAACAAGTCCAGGCATCTTACAGGACTTCTTTGTTAGAAATTACACTGGTAAGGGCAGTCTGTATTTTGTCCAAACCAGATGGATGTGCAATGAAGTGAAAAGAATGCCTTCATGTATTTTGATTTGAGAAGTCTAAAATATGTTCATTCAGCAGATATTAGTGGACACACACTGTTTAATAACAGGACTGACTGCAACGTGTTGCAAGGATTAAATAAAATGAAGGCAAACTTAAAAAGCTAGGACCTCCAGAGAGTGTAAAAACAGCTTTTTTGGTAAGTTATTTATTGAAATATGTCATGCAGATAAAAACTGCAGAAGTCACAAATGAACAGCTCCATGAATTTTCACATGGTGTAAACTATTTTAAAAAGATTCTGGAAAAAGGATTATTTTTCCATTCAGCCGACTTGAAGCGAGGGCTACAGGCGGTTTGAAATACATGACATCATCTGCTAAGCAGATGCGCGAGGCGAGTGGGGCGGGGCGTGGAGACTGACGTCACCGCACAGCAGCTTCTTTTCCCCGCCCACTTCTCTCGCCAGAATAGATTGTCTCTGTTACATGCGAGCGAATCCGGAAGTGAACTGTCCAAAAAACCGAACCGTAGGCGGGGGGAGGTGGGACCTCAGAAGGCGCCTGCGCACGGCTGGAAATGAGGCACAATGCTCAGGTTTTGGAGGCGGGACACTTGGCAACAGCATCTGAAGCGCATGCGTAGAGGCCATCTCCACCCTGCGCTTGGTGGGAGGGGCAGTGGGGGGGCAGGATCGCACGGCAGCCTCTGCGCCTGCGCCAGGGCGCAAGGTGGGGCCGCCGGCGCCGGGACTCCGGAGTGCGCACAGTGGTGGGGGGCAACGGTCAACCGTCGCCCTGAGGCGGCTGGCGGCGGGATGGCGTCGGCCTCTGGATCCTCGGACTTGGCCGGCTCTGGAGCGCCCCCACCTGGTGGGGGAGCCCAGGCGGCGGCGGCTGAGGAGGAGGAGCGAGAGGTGGTACGGGTCCGAGTCAAGGTGAGGCTGACAGCTGGTCGGCCTGCCTGCCGGGGGTGCCCAGGGGAGGGGAAGGCGGTGACTCTCCTAGGTTGGAGGGCGGGGCCCGAGATTTGGGGTGTTAACCTGAGGGGCGAGGCTTGAGGGCAGAGTTATGGTGATGGGGACGGGCGAGGGGGGAGGCTGGACCTGGAAATGTTGGGCAGGGCCTGAGAACGTAGGGATTGAAAATGGAGGGATAGGGGCCTAAGGAGATAGGTGGAGATAATGGGTAGAGAGGAGGGACCATAGAGCTGGAGGAGGGGCCTTAGTAGTCGAGGCGTGAGGGGGGCTGTTGGTGTCTGAAAAGGAGGTGCTGAAGTGAATTAACATGTATGTTGAGACTGCACTTTTGTGCCAATTTACAATCTCACCCTGGATGAGCTTACTACATGCTTCTCGGGAAGACCGCTAAATAAGTGAGATGTTTTGGACAGTGGTGAATGTCGTGAGGAAGTAACTAAAAAGCTTCTGAACTAGGGAGTTACTTTGGCCACAGTTGTAGCGGGAAGTCCCTAGAGAGGTACTGAAAGAGCAGAGACACCCCCCTTAAAAGGAATCGTCCATGTCCCTAAAGGAGGATGAGTGGAAGCAGAGAGACCAGCAAGGGCAACGGCTGGAAGTGGGGATGAGCTTGGCATGTTCCCTTAGGTTCCCATATTGCTGGAACAGGTAGGGAGTAAAACGAAGAGGTAAAAGGGAGGCAGATTGTGAAGGGCCTTTGACATGTATTCTAAGTAATAAAGCTGTTGCCATGGCTGCAGGAAATGAAAACGGTGGCTAGGACTAGGGTGGTGGGACTGGTGTTGATGAAAGAAAGTAGATTCTGGAAAGAAGTAAATGGATCACCTCAGGGTAATACAGGAGGCTCTAATGTAGAGGTTTGGGAATTCAGAAAAGAGATGATGCCTGAGCTGTGTCTAGCCGGTTGGAAGAAAGTGGGAAGGACTTTCCAGACAGGGGGATCCATACAAGCAAAGTCTTGAAGCCAGGATGTGTTCAAAATAATTTCCAAGCAGTTTGGTAGTACCAGAGTGTGGAGTTCAAAAAAGCTGACTGAAGACAGGCTGGCCAGAGTCCTATAGGCTTACCTTCTGGGAACCCTGGGGTTGCCTTTGATGAGATTTAAGCAGGGTAGTATGAATTGTAGATAGATGAGCTAAATCGGTGCAGCATGGAGTATTGATTTAATGGGGACCAGACTGGACATGGTGATCCTGACAGCCATCGTTGCAGGGGACAAAGAAGGATTGGGTGCTTAGACTATTGCAGTGGCCTCCTCCT